GTCTGGGGTGAATATTTGAAACTTTATAAGGAAAGAAGCTAACCATTGTTCGATAGAGAAGTGGTTCGATAGCCCTAAATCAAACGGAGTTAGTAACTTATGAGGTTGATCCACACAGAAACTTTTTCATAACGACAGATCTGCCACGACACTTAGAGAACGCATTCCACAGACTTCACTTGAAAGTGGCATAAACAAACAGCTTCCTGCGCAAAATACATCGATCCAACTCCTTGGAATGCCATTGTGGTCAATGCAGAAGAAAGTGTTCGCCATATTATTTTTGAGTGCGTTAAATACGCGAATGAAAGAGAGAAACTAAAGAACAATTAGCAAGTTAGGAATGATGGCCGCATACATTAAAAAATCAGTTGGACCAATGCTCTGATGATGCATCTTCAGAAAAAGGCAAACATCTTTTTGACAGACTTCTTAGTGAAGACCAGACTGGATAAGCGCCTGCGATAGAGAAGCAGGGATTGATATATATGAAATGTGTTAGTGCATATACTGACAGTAAAAAGGGAGGTGTGCCTGTGAACAGTTTGACAGTGTGAGCTGTTGCAATTATACTGTGCATTCGCGCGTTATTTGAACTGATTAAAGTGTGCTCCTATGTTTTTTTTTCAGATTGTTCGTTTTTGGGCACAATTAAGTAATAATATTTTTTTTTTCACTGCAGAATACGTTGATATGGGGTATCCGAGGCAATATGGACTTCAACTTCTCCATAGTAAAACACTTAGAACAGAACAGAACAGATATTTTCAATAGTAGTGCAAAAATAACAAATTGGTAGGCTCTCAGTTTCCGCAACGAAGCGATACTTTGAGTCACTCTGTAGGATATAAAATTACTTTATTTGTGTTTTTTGCAGAAAGAGAAAAAAATGAGATAGGCTACAGATGGTGACAAATGCCCTCTAGAAGGCTCAATGCTTCACAATTTTTTCAGAGGAGAATGAAAGAGACAGAGACAGCGGACATGGTGACTGGAGGAGGAAGAGTGCAAAAAACAAACAAACCAAAAAAGAGATCTTCCGAGAGAAATAAGTGAGGACACGAAAAAAACCCTCTAACAGCAGGCACTTGAATAAACGCGTAAAAGTACTTTCCCACGTAGCATCATCAAATTCATTCCCATGTCATGCGTACCGTGTCTGGAAGTATTTTTGGTTCATATACGGCTTTCATGCGAAGCAGAATGTACAAAATCACAGATTCAGAATAAAGCATAAAGGTATTTCCTCATAAAGTAAGACTGATAAGAATTGTAGTAGCTTGAGGCAGTTAGTATTGCCCCAATGAAATGTACTTATTGCGCATTGTGCTCTCTACTTGCAAAAAAGACGTTCAAAATTACAGAACACAAATTCATCAGTAGGGCATAGCGCCTTTGTGGAAATAAAAAAGGCAATTCGCCGTCACCTTCTGTTTCACTCAACAATAAGGTTTCAGAAAATTGGCCAGAACCAATTTTAAGGCTTTGTCAGTGAGACATTAAAAAATCGTATAAGAGCTTCAGACATCTGAGGGACATCTTTGATGTCATGGTTTTTAGCACAGTTTGTACGAGCCTATATAGATGCGCAAACAGAAAGAAGAGCGTTGCTTGTTGCAGGTCGACCTATCATGTTGCCGAAAAATTTCACACGCTCAAGCCATTCCACAAAAGCCTACGTTATGTAATAGCGAGAAGTAGCTACATCAGTTTGTCTGAAACCAAGTTTTACGAGATCCATCGATTTTCTCAGCCAGACTGTGAAGAAAATGCGCATAGAATAAAGTTAAAAATGATAAACATCTCAAAATTAGGGTGATGTATTGGGCTAGATGGCAGAAATGGACAAATATTTACAAAGCAGGCCACTTCAACTACGCACAAGTTTCGTGAGCTGGCCAGCAGTAAGAGTGAAGTCCCCTGTAATGCTGGCCAAGCTTTGCCCCCTAGAAATAACAGTGACTGTTTCTTTCCTTCAGTTACTCAGTTCATTTGAACCTAAATAAACAATTTATTACAGTGATGAAAAATTACGTTTCCTACGGTGCTCACACGATCTTTCATTGCAGGCAACTCACACGAACTGTACAAAAATCACCTGACGACGATGATTGTTGAGCGAGGAACTTTGGCAGTAGATACGTTTTTGTTCGTTGGGTATGTTCAGCACAAGCACATAGACTTGCACACCTAGCAATGCATGTATGTTTTATTTAATGCACTGATTATTGCCATGCTTATATTGGTGAAAAACGATATTCCTATGACTGTATCCTCAACATTGCTTGCAAATGTACTAAGTTAGCTCAATTAAAGTCATTTTACATAAGTGAAACCATCTAAAAGTTAGGCATCGTCGAATATAGCGAAAGGCCGCAAAAGGGAAACATTCATGTTCAATAATCAATATTTGCCTCAATGCTAGAAGTCTTTCAATTAAACGCACATCATGTCTCATGAGCTTGTCAATACACCTCAGAAAACTATCAATTGTAAACGCACACACTTTTTCTCACAAGAAACAGCATAGCCACTGAATCACTCAGGAGCCCCATCAAAAGGGACGGGGAGAAGTGACAAGCAGAACTTACGAAATACGTACTAATGGAATGAAATTGTATTGCCTAATGTGCACAAACTTCACTGATGCAGACAACCCTACGTATTCGGTCGCCACATGGTCGATAGTCTGTATGACCTTCTGCGCTTTTCAAGCAACTTATTTATACCCGAAAACAGAATAGTAGACATACCGCTGCATAGAGGCAGACGTTTTTCGTTCTGCAAGAATTACACAATGATCGAATTTACTGAGACCTGTCTACCACTTCTCACGACTGTGAGATGATCCACTTAACTAGGATACAAGCTTTTGTCTGCAGGATGTTAATAAACGTTTTTTTTAAGTGTAAATCATCACGTCACAAGAAACAACATGACCTGCGAATAACTAAGAACTTTTATTTATCACATTGATAAACTATAAACCGACTGAGGAACGAACGCTCTGACAAAATTAGCTATCACTGATAAGTTGCATTTCTAATCTCCGCAGTTACTTGTTAATTATACGCAAACCATGCCACGCCAAGATTCTCTGACACCTAACGAATCGAAAGGTGTGCACAGACGAGGTGTAAATGAAAGAGTGAAAGAAATAGCTGTTATTGCGCACAATAGCAGCCATGATCAGTGCGGATATCTCTTACATTCAGACATCTATTGCTATTGATAAATAAAAGGAGCAGACAGCTACACACAAGCCAAAGTTGGTTTTTGTTTACAGATTATTGAGACTCACACTCGTGCACTGGAACCAACCGCACCTCATTTCTGCACTGGATCAGTCAAGTTTTACAGCACGAATGAGCTTTCATAGTTCTTTCTGTTCACTAATTTTTGGTCAATGTCGTTATTACTCGTCCTCACATGTTAAACTAAAAAAATTGGCTGTGTATTGTGCACCTTTCTCAGTACGGCGACTAGCTTGGGTTAGGACTTACAGCGCCACACAAGTGCGTTTGTGCATTGCGTTGCGCGAACTAGCGCACATCCGCACACATTCATTTGTTACATGAAGGCACCAAGTGAAGCGTGATAAATACACATTGCTGCTCTCGGTAGAATAAGCGACACTTTATTTCTTGCTGCAACACCACAAAACGTAGTCCCAAGCCCGCTTCAAAAAGTGACATGAAAACAAAACGGGCTTCAACCTTCTACGGGCAAACAAAACAACAAAGGCGTCGGTATAGCCCATCCTTGTGAGCAATGACACGCCGTGACATGCCACTAAAGCTATATTCACATGAGAGGGGAACATTCCTCTGCTCTGAGGACCGAATAGTAACGTGATTAGTTTATTCGGGTGCACCAGCAGACGCGTCGCATGCACACAGCCGGAGCTACGCTTGCAGAATCCTCGTGCATACTCTCGACTCCTATGCTTATGCAGCTTGCTTATGTGGTCATGCAGGCTGACGCGCTGTGAATGAAAACCAAGAATTCACCATCAAGACCACCCAAAAATACTCGTCCTCTCCTACTGTCATACGAAACACATTCGGTCGTTGCCGCTCAAACTAAAGCATGTGGATTTTAAGCCGGCAGCTTGCTTTCTAGCCACGCCAATCCAACCAATGGCTGACATAATTTGACGCTGAATCATCTCGATCGAGAGCAGACAGCCAGCCAAAGGGAGGTATTGAAATAGCGGCGAACACATTTCCATCCGTGCTACGATCAGAGGAGAGCAAATGAAGCGAGGTACGGCACGTTTCGATGATGCTCATGTCACGTAATGCGCCGTCCGCTGCGAAAATTCCTCCTCGGTTCCCTCGTGTAAATCCACTTAAGAGAAGAAAGCTCTTGCGACAATGCTTCGCAATCTCACAACCCGCGACCAGCATGCCTCATTTTTTGAGGGAGGGCAAACTGCGTTAGCGTTAAGCGTCAATAAAGATGTATGAATACGGTGAATAAACTGTACCACGCTTTGGGAAACTTTTCAGAAGGGATAATGTCAGCTAAGAAGGACAGCTTCGTCAAACTCCGTCCGAGCCAGCACTGAAACAAAAGAGCTGAACACGTGCCTACCCTGGGCTATCCAAACTGATTGTCTCTTTCAGTCGCGTGCTAGAAGATATGGGTGTGGTTGCGTCACTTTAGTCACAACTTTGATGGGGCAGCTATCATTTGCAGCTTTTGGGAAGCTTTGATTTGCGTACTTTCATCATAAGCGCGTGGTAGAGGGCCGTATCACACGATATTTTTCGATGGACATCAGTCGATAGCTCGTTTACTTTTCTACGCAGTGTGCTCTCCACACTCACTAGGCAGCACAGAAACAGCTTCTAACCGTGGAGCGGCTGTATTCCGTTAAAACAGCGTAATGTGGAGAGAACGGGATGGACGGAAAACCGTTAAGCGTTGATTTAACATTACATTTTGCTGCTATCTTATTCATTATGTCACCTTTGTGGCTAAACTACTTTTTTGTTGTTTCAGCGGTTTTCTCGTGGGATATGCAAATCTGACCTACCTGAGAAAAAATAATGGCCAGAAGAACTGGCTTCTTTACTATTCCCATCGCTATTTGAGGTAAGCAAGCGTATCAGTGGCTTCTACATACGAGATGTGCACACTAATTTATTGAAACTTGGGGTTTAACGTCCCAAAATCACCATATCATTAGGAGAGACGCCGTAGTGGAGGGCTCCGGAAATTTCGAGCACGTGGGGTTTTTTTAACGTGCTCCCAAATCTGATCACACGGGCCTACAACATTCCCGCCTTCATCGGAAATGCAGTCGTCACAGATGGAATTCGAACCCGCGACCTGCAGGTCAGCAGCCGAGTACCTTAGTCACTAGACCACCAGGGTAGGGCGATAACTGCACACTAGGAGTATTTTTGTCATCTCTGAATTTCTTTACGTCCTGAATGCAATCGGTGCCACAATGGTGGTGTGGTGGCTGTGGCGCTTGACTGCTGACCTGAAAAACGTGGGTTCCTTCCAATTTGCGGCAGTCGTATTTCGATAACGGCGAAATACTGCAGGATCGTCCACTGTACGAGATCAATACAGTACACTGACCTCGTACAGTAGAACCCCACGTGTTCCATGTTTTACAAGCCCTGCAACACAGCATCTCTAACGTCTATAAAATGGCTTTTTCTGGTATATCTTTATAATTTTTATAGCAAACGTTAACTTATGGGGATAATGCCAATAAACTTCTCAAACCTATAATATGGATAGGACATAGTACTAGAGCGAATACTTTTTCTTCTCTCTCGATTGTAATAGTATTATTATTCATTCATGGCGTTTAACATCGCAAAACTACCAAATGATTATGAAAGCCGCCCCATTGCAATGTCCCACGGTAGTGCTGCATACACTTTTTGCACGATTCGATATTTTTAGGTACAAGATTAGCTGTATTTACGATCTTCTTCGGATATTCTGCATTTCCTGAGGTACATTTTTTACTGCCACCAACATCAAACGATATCAACATCAACGATATCAATATCAAACGTATAACCTCATGCTCGCGCCCACGCTTTTCAGAAACCATTAATTAAAACCCATTGTTCAAAAAACAGCGTCAAGTTGATACAGAAAAGAATGCAAGTTAGACCAGCACTTATCCCCAACAACTTGGCTTATTAAAAAGGGGGTACAAAATTATATAAAATAAAATACTTGGAGAAAGAGAACGAAAATAAGCTCGGGAAACGTAACCATATAAATGTTTTGGTGGCACTATCTTCCAGTAGCATATTATTATTTAGTCTTAACAGATAATTTTCAGAGATACAAACACTTCTTGTCTGTTCAAATAAAGGATGGCATTTTCACGCATGCTTCATATTCATATGTGACCATGAAAGCTAAATAAAACTTCAGGTGCAAGGTTCTGTTTGTACGCACTCCGCTTAGGATTTTCTGAAATCATGGTAGGTAGCCGCAATTAGAAGATTGAATGAACAAGTTGTCAGGGTTCGTTTCTTATCTGGAGGTTGTAGGCCCGTTTGCAGAGACGGTCGTTAAAGCAACGACCCGTCTGCGTAAAGTATTGCCACTTTTACAAATCTTAGGAATGTCATATACAAGTTCGCGTTGGCACGGGACATAATTTTTTGTGTGTTTTGCAGACGCTAGCTCGCTTGATATTTTTTCTTTCATCATCTTGAAAAGGGAGCTGAGATTTTGGTGGACGAGAATGCCACGTCATAATGCCCACTCACACAGCAGCCTTATTGATCTTGTGGAAAACTTTGTGCTCTTGTGGAATCACCACAATATTAGATACATTTCAAAGCTTGGGTGGGTGCGTTTTCTCGTAAACCTCACTTGATGGAAAAGAATGGCAGTCATTGAGGACAGCAGGCTCTACGGCGGGCCACTCTTTTTCATCTCCGCACTCGCACTGCGTAGCTCCTCGCGAGGGAGTAGTGAGAGAAGCAAACCAGGACATATATCAGGGCCCTCCAAAGGAATATTGAGATGAAAACGGTAGGAATTTCTTCCCAGGCTCTATTGTTTCTAAAGGACTCAATGTTCCTTCAATTTCAGCCCTGTCTGGTAGAACTGATATATATATATATATATATATATATATATATATATATATATATATATATATATATATATATATAGCACTTCTACCACGCCACCACCACCAAGTCCAACCTGAGTGGCACCGACCATGAAGCTCTGGAGGGGCACATCGTCGAGGCTACAATGAAACACTGCAGCTTATCGCCAGTAGGTATGGAAACTACCGCTAATACAAACACCGGACTCAGATTATTCTCCACAGTCAGTCCAGAAAAAGGAGCACCCGCCTAGTTTCAGTGACCGGACCAACGTCGTGACACCACCACATAGGCGACATGAGCTTCTCAACACCGAACGTGGGCGCTTCCTACAGTTCAAGTCCGCGTCGACAGAATCGGCGAGCATATGGCTGTAGTTCAAACTGGAACTCCACGTACGCGCCATATTGACGCCATGTCTCACTCGCCCTCAGCCTTGGTCCGAGGCGCCCGTGCGCTGCACTGTTACAGTCGCAGTTACCTGTCAGTGGGCTTGTTTTGCAGATGCACACCGAAGCTGGCAGGAAGTCCCTTAACGCCGTTCCTGTCCTAGAGGACTTCGACGTAGACATGGTTTCGGGAGCCGATTATCTTTTGTCTGGGGAAGTTCAGCTCACCATAAATGGCGGCCGAGCGAAGCTCAGCTGCTTTACAACGAGAATTTTTTCTGTTCCTAATTCCACAGTTGAAAGACCGCAGTCACAGAAGTCTTGCGACGAAAGCATCCTGAATGACCAGCAAGAGGGAGATCTTTCTACTTCATGGCAGTCATTGGCCGAGTGTGCGAGTGCTTCGCTCAGTAATTTCAAGGCTGCCGGCGAAAACTATATAAAAGACACGCCTATATAGACCGAATTTACCCACCGCGCCTTGGCCGAATCCAGCGATGCAGTGCAAGCAGACGACACCAGCATCAGCATTTCCGGCATCATCCCGTTGTGTGGATCTGATAGCGATGACGGGCAGGTCATTATGACTTCCAGTTTACCAACTGAGTGCCATGCCGATGATCATGAGGCAGTCTTCATTAACGGGGTATACTATGGCTATCAGCCGGACGGCGCCCAGCTCAAACGAAACAACGAATTCACACCTTTTTACAGCCCTGGCATCTGCAGCATGGTGTACAGCCAGCGGCCTTGTCCTGTACAGCCAGCGGCCTTCACCTTCACTATGACGGCCTTCACGAAACCATCTGACAACATCCTGCTTCTCCGAGACCGAAATACTTGAGAATGTGGTGACGGTAGCGCAGAGCTTCTCGCATCAAACCAAGAAGGCCAAGTAACGCAACCTGTTTAACCTCGTGGTCATACCTCATTAGGTAAGAATTTGCCTGTTCTCCTAGTACGAAAGTTGCAACCACCTGCCCAGCAAAGTCATCACTCGTCAGCCGGGACACACACACACACACACCACACACACATACACACACACACACACACACACACACATATATATATATATATATATATATATATATATATATATATATATATATATATATATAGATGGGACACATAAATAATGCTCACAGTATATATGTATATATATATATATATATATATATATATATATATATATATATATATATATATATATATATATATATATATACTGTGAGCATTATTTATGTGTCCCATCTTTTCATCTGTACTTACTCATTATCCCCAGTCAAGTGTAGGTTGTGGGGCGCATACTCGAGACAATAAAAAGAGTCTTGAGGGTACTGGACGCCATCTTACAAGTGGTGGAGAGTGCTGCCCGGTTCCTGCGTCTTCTCATGATCTCGGACAACCCCAGCCTCTTCTAGAGCACATCCCTGGAGCTCCGTTCAGCCCACCGCTTGAACGACCTGGGTTCGGTAATGTCACAAGCCGACCAGCCCAGCGCGCCAGGTTCGCCACCACTCCCGCCGCCAAGAAACCCTTCACACCTTGTCACCAGGGTTCAAAAGGATCGACCGCTGTTCGCAGGGCTTCCGGGTGAAGCGTTGAAGACTGACTCGAGGAGTATGATCGCGTGAGTGTTAAAAACAACTGGGATGAGCCCGCAAAACTCACCCACATTGCATATATATATATATATATATATATATATATATATATATATATATATATATATATATATATATATATATATATATATATCAGCCGAAACTGTTAGGAATAAATAATATTTTATTGTTTTGTTTCCTATACCGCACTATTCGCGAAGTTTATAACTTTTATTACGGTAGCCGGAAGAAACTCTGATCATCTATTTCATCTATATATATATATATATATATATATAGCTCGATGCAGCTCGATGTCGTTCTTGCGTTGAATGGCGTCACAGACCAGCCGCTGATGCACGCCATTCTTCAAGACGCCCTTCCGGTAGAGTTGCGTCATCTCTCTGCCACTTCAACCTCCAGCCAGCAGCCTTGCGATGACCTCTGCTCGTCGGTGCTTGCCAGCTATGGCCTCACGTACCGACCACTTCCAGGGACCCGCGATTTTCAGGTTTTCCCTGCGTCGCAGCGTGCTGGACCCTCCGGCCCGAAGCTCTCATCTGACCGCAACCTAACTTCCCCAACAACGTCTCCCTCCACCATTGGTCCCGTCACTAGCGCAGTGATTCTCGCACCCGGTCACAGATCCGACGAGGTTCTTGAAGTCGTTCCTGCTGCCGACAACCTGTCCACCACGAAGTGCGTTTTTTCGAAGTCCTCGGCCGATGGTCCTTCTGGCACGCTTGCTACCTGCACGTTTTCCACGAAAGCGACGGCACGTGACACCATTGCCCCACCAGACTCCATGACGACCACCTTGCCGCCCGCCTCGGAGTCTGGCACAGGTGACCTTTCACCCGTTATTGACTTCCCGACCTCGAAGCTTTCGCCTTCAACAACGTCCAATAAACGAGACTTAACCTCTCGTCTGGCCAATAGCGACGCGTGTCCTGCGCCCGACTGCCCATCCGCCAAGGCTCTCGACATTTGGGCTGAAT